GTTGTAGGCCGAGAAGGCCTGCGTTATAAGGGCCACATTTACGTGGATTTGAATTTCCGCGCAAAAGAAAGCTAAAAACATTGCATCCCGAGATGCGTGAAAAATACTTCGGTGGTACCGCTGCCATCGTGAATCTCTCAAAATACCCATTGCTTATAGGTAAGGCACGCGTAATAGCTAGAGGCCACATTACGCGAGAAGTAGCTAAAAAGGAAGTACGCTTCTTGACGTTAGAGAACGAAAAGTTAAATGAAAAAGGGAGAAAGCGTCTAATTATTAGCGAAGAGATTACAGTTGATGATGATGTTTCTTTGAAGGATTTTAATAAGTTAGTGAAAATTCTGAACAATTACCACGAATGCTTTGCGTTTAAAATAGGCAAGACCGATTTTAGCCGAAACGAACATCGAGTTGACGGCGGATACTTCGACCTACTACAGACTTTATCGCTTATTTAATTTATAGCGACAGAAGGTCAAGGACTTAATTATCTAATTAAAAGATGACGATATAATTCAAGAGTTGAATTCTCTATACGCAAGTCCGATATCATTGGTCCGCAAGAAAAATGGTAAAATTAAGGTGTGCGTTAATTATTCACCACTCAACGCGATAATAAAAAGGGACCATCACCCTTTATCAATAATCGAAGATCAAATAAATAATTACGACGGTAAAACTAGATTCGTCTCTCCAGATTTATTTTCTGGCTACTATCAAGTTCTAGTTTCCGAAAAGTTGAGAGAAAACACTATTTTTGTAACGCCAGACGGTCAGTACGAATGGTTACGAGTACCTTTCGGTCTAGTTAACGCACTAAGTATATTCGCTCGTCTGATACAAAGAGTTACAACACTGCTGATAAATAAGGGAATGAGCTCGATAGTGCAGGCATACATCGATGATATCAGGATCGCGTCTGATAACACGATGGATGGTCTAGAAGCACTAATCAAATTTCTTAAAAGAATACACGAGACCGGTTTAACACTCAAGTTGAGTAAACGCAAATTTTTAATGACTAATGTGCAGTTTTTGGGGTGCGAAATTTCTAAAGACGGAGTATGGGCGGAAAAGGCAAAGTCAGTACAAAATTTTTTGCGACCAACAATACGTTTATGAAGTATGGTAATTCTTTGGGATCGCAAGCTATTTTAGAAAATTCATTAAATATTTTGTAACGATAGCAGGATCACTTACGTCTTTAACTAAAAAGGAAATGCCGTGGGTTTGGAAAGAAGAACAGAACGGCACATTCGGCGAAATGAAAGGTATACTGATAACGCGGCCGGTTCTCGCTCTGTATACCTCAATTACGCACTGACGCATATTTATGAGTAAGCAATTTAAAGAATTTTGGGATCGCAAAATGCAAAGTAAGATGGACTCTCAATAATACTGTTAATAAAAGCACGGGTAAAAGTCAAGATCACGTTGCTTGATTATGTAAACGAGACGTAATACGATGCCAATCGGGAGACCACGCGAAAAAAGCAACAGAAACTATTAAAAATCATCAAGATCAAGAGAAAGCTAGATATCATCTGAGATGGGCCGCACCGATGGTGTTTCGGAAAGGGAATGCAGTTAGAGTAAGGTGCGATATCGCTTGTAATGATGGCATAAGTAAAAATTTGCTACCAAAATTTGGTATCCCAACAACAAAGATGTCTTGAACTATGACCGATATGTGGTCGGCGGTATCAAAGGCTGTCACAGAAGTCAAAGGCCCTACAGCTGAATGCTTCCTGGAGAAAAACTGAAAAGGTGGGAAACAGTCGTCAGCAGTGATGATAGGAATGATTGCCATGATAACGGTCCTGTGACGAGAGAACGAAGCCGAAAAATGAAAGAGATGCATACACACCGAAACTAGTTAAGTCGTGAAATTGACTAGGGTCTCATGACTAAAACGGCACGGACGAGTGCCTTGCGATGCTGAACCGAATAGGGTCATGTACCGAACGTTTGGTCCAGACCGAGCAGGGTCGTGGGCAGGGCTGTAGTGGTGACCTTAAATCATACAGCAATATGAACTGTGTGATGTTTGTGAGTGAAGCTAAAGGGTACCCCCCATTACCAATGGTGAAATGCCCTCTTTCGAAAACCTCAAAATAACCTTTGGCTATCTTTAATATAGTGTTTAAGAAGTGCTTTGCCCATATAATTAGCCTCCGACCTCCCCCCCATATATACAGGGTGGCCCATTTTAAATGATCCACTCAGATATCTAGATTGGAGTGAGTTTTATCGAAAAAAGTTTCAGACAAAAGTTACTCAACTTTGAGGGGGCCATGTTTCTATGACCTTGGATTTGACCTTGAACATGACATGTCAAGGTCATTTCAAGGTCAACGAATTTATTAAATAGGAACCTCTATTTTTTATTCCAGAATCGAATTCCTCGTCAAATTCTACGTTTAGAGGATATAACATGTGTGGGATCAAAACCAACCCCTCCCCCTAATAACCCCCCCTATAACCCCCCCCAAGCCATTTCGAGGTCAACGTTTTTTAAATTAGAAACCCCTATTTTTTATTCCGAAAACGCATTCCTTGTCAAATTCTAACTTCAGATAACATAACATGTGTGGGGTCAAAACCACCACCTCCCCCCAATAACCCTCCAAGGCCATTCCGAGGTCAACGTTTTTTTTTAATTGTAACCTGCGTGTAATTCTACGTCCACGAAATGTAACATGTCTCGGGGCCCCTTGCCTCTCACTGAGGTGCTTTTTTATCGTGAGTGCCCTTGCCTCTCACTGAGGTGCTTTTTTATCGTGAGTCCCCTTGCCTCTCACTGGGGTGCTTTTTTATCGTGAGTCCCCTTGCCTCTCACTGGGGTGCTGTTTTATCGTGAGTCCCCTTGCCTCTCACTGGGGTGCTTTTTTATCGTGAGTCCCCTTGCCTCTCACTGGGGTGCTGTTTTATCGTGAGTCCCCTTGCCTCTCACTGGGGTGCTGTTTTATCGTGAGTCCCCTTGCCTCTCACTGGGGTGCTTTTTTATCGTGAGTCCCCTTGCCTCTCACTGGGGTGCTTTTTTATCGTGAGTCCCCTTGCCTCTCACTGGGGTGCTGTTTTATCGTGAGTCCCCTTGCCTCTCACTGGGGTGCTGTTTTATCGTGAGTCCCCTTGCCTCTCACTGGGGTGCTTTTTTATCGTGAGTCCCCTTGCCTCTCACTGGGGTGCTTTTTTATCGTGAGTCCCCTTGCCCCTCACTGGGGTGCTTTTTTATCGTGAGTCCCCTTGCCTCTCACTGGGGTGCTGTTTTATCGTGAGTCCCCTTGCCTCTCACTGGGGTGCTTTTTTATCGTGAGTCCCCTTGCCTCTCACTGGGGTGCTTTTTTATCGTGAGTCCCCTTGCCTCTCACTGGGGTGCTTTTTTATCGTGAATCCCCTTGCCTCTCACTATTCTTATCCACGTAGCCGGTGTTCAAAGTTTCCGCCATTTTCTTCAAGGCATAGATTCAAACGCCTCTGAAAATGCTCAACCGTTCGCAGCAACGTTGCCCTGGAAATAGCTCTGCAAGCTTGGCGAATGCGAACGATCATATTCTCCCTCGTTGTTGGCTGTTGTGCGTAAACAACATTCTTTAGATATCCCCACAAGAAAAAATCTGGCGAGGTGAGATCTGGTGAACAAGATGGCCAGATAACTGGACCTCCTCTTCCAATCCATTGATTTCCATAAGTGATGTTCAAAAAGTTACGAACCAGTTGCGCAAAGTGTGGTGGTGCGCCATCCTGCTGGAACCACATTCTTCTTCTTGTTTCCAAATCAACATCTTCTAACATTTCTGGTAACCGATCTCTTATTAACTCTAGGTAGGTGTTTGCATTAACGTTTTTTTCGAAAAAATAAGGTCCGATCAAGTGACCGTTCACTATACCACACCATACTATCAGACTCCACCGGTGTTGTCGATCGACCGTTCTGTGCCAAAGGGGATTTGTATCTGACCAATAATGACAGTTATGTCGATTTAGTTGGCCATCATTGGAAAACTTGGCCTCATCAGAGAACAGTACAAATCTGAAAAAATCAGGGTCTTCTTGTATCATTCTCAAAGCTCACTGGCAGAAGTTGATACGCATAGCAATATGATGTTGCCTTAATTCTTGTTCTAAGGTTATATGGTAAGCATGATATTGAAGTCTACGAAGAATACGCAAAGCTGTGGTTCTAGGAATGCCGATTTCCCTCTCTATTTGCCTGCTGCTGATGTGAGGATTGAGATGAACAGCTGCTAGAACAGTTATCGTGCGAGGATCCATTTCATCAAAGGCAAGGCGTCTGTGTCGATTTGCAAATTGCCCATTTCGAGCTCGTTGAGTCAATCTCCGTAATGTTGGGTGGAGAGGATGTCTTCTATTTGGGAAACGTTCTGCATAAAGTCTTGCCGCTGCTCTGTAACTGTTCCGGCTTTCTCCCAGAATTAGAATCATATCATAAATTTCTTCTGGAGAGTAGTCCCCCATGTCATCTAAACGTAGAATTTGACGAGGAATTCGATTCTGGAATAAAAAATAGAGGTTCCTATTTAATAAATTCGTTGACCTCGAAATGGCTTGGGGGGAGGGGGGTTATAGGGGGGGTTATTAGGGGGAGGGGTTGGTTTTGACCCCACACATGTTATATCCTCTAAACGTAGAATTTGACGAGGAATTCGATTCTGGAATAAAAAATAGAGGTTGCTATTTAATAAATTCGTTGACCTTGTAATGACCTTGACATGTCATGTTCAAGGTCAAATCCAAGGTCATAGAAACATGGCCCCCTCAAAGTTGAGTAACTTTTGTCTGAAACTTTTTTCGATAAAACTCACTCCAATCTAGATATCTGAGTGGATCACTTAAAATGGGCCACCCTGTATATATATACAAAAAACGATTTTTTTACGAATTATTTTTTTTCTCGAAAAATAATAGCGATATCAATACAAAAAAAAATCATGGATATACTACTTGCCAAAAGGAATATACCTGATTTTTTTCACATCTTAAGGTGGTGATTTTCTAACCTAAAAAAATTCCCGAAATTTTCAAAGTGCGATAACTTTACTTAGAAAAGTGGCTACAGAAAATTTTTTTTTATTTAAATTATGTCTTTTTTTCTGACAAATTCAGTGGTATCATTAGAATTTCGAAAATCGTAGTGGGTCATTGAGAAAAAGTCAAAAAACTGAGTTTTTTCGACTTTTTTCGTGGTTTTTGGTCGCTAATTCTTCGCAGTCGATTTCTATGCCAAATCTGATTACACCATTCGATTCTACAGGAAAAATTACATCGAAAACATGTATAATAACATAGAAAATAATATTGGATCATCGTTGAAAAAATTCAGTAAAGAAAAAAATCAAGAACATCTGACGTATTTACTTGAAATTTTTGTCTTATTAAAGAAATTAATGACCCTACATAATATATATATATATATATATATATATATATATATTTAAATCGTTTTTTAATTAAATGCTTCTTACAACATCTGTTTCTCCTTGGAATGAATATTCTCCTTTTTGTGAACACGTATATTCGGGCATCGAATGGTACGTCTTGAAGATTCTTAGTTTCTTTACACATAAAATAATACTGGTGAGATATAATTGTCCTTGGAAAAGGCATGACTACCAATTCAACTTCAATAGTATTAATAAGCACATATGTTGGATCTGTTCCGGAAGAATCTGATGTTTGACTATAATCTGTAGTTGTATCTTGACTACTTTTACTTTCTCCAAGCTTTGTATCCCATGAAGGTGTATTACTCTCTGTGTTACTTTCTTGAGTATTTTCCAGTGAAATTCTTGACGTCTGTTCTTCAATTTGAGACTCAGATTCATCTTCTTGAACAGTATTTTCACCTAAAACATCTGCTGAAGAAGTTGCCGTGAATGAAGAAGATTTCGAAATTCGCAATTTTGCGTAACACTTGGAACATACTGTATCATCCACAAGGACCAATTGTTCATACTTTTTATTAAAATCCAAAGCTTTTTCCCGACTATCAATATACAAATGGGATCCACTCAATTTTCTTATATGTTTGTCGCACGAAATACATTTTGATTCATCTCTTGAACGAGACTTTTTGACTGAAGGCTCATCATCAGAAGACATCTTATGTGTCTGTAATAACAAAAAGGATCATATTTTAATTTTCATAATGTCAAATTACTAGATTTTAATATCACAACAAGTACAATTTTAACGAAATATTTAGTAGTAAACATTTCTGTAAATAATCAAAAGCTCGAGACTTCTTTTACTATCTTTGAAACATTCAAATGCTCTAATACTTATTTTTCTAACTATTTGGAAAATCACCACCGGAATTTTCATAGCATATATATTTTTATATGGAAGTTTGTTAGAGATAATTAAAAAGAAAATGAAAACAAACAATCAAAGTTGAATATTCATTCCTGTAGATCATGAAAGTATAAATTGCAGAAAAGGGAAATCTAAAACATAATTGCACACGTCAAAAACTGAGTATATTTATTATGTCAAACTCTTTTTCCATGGTCCAACATGAAAACATATAAATTATGTTAAAACGAGGAAGAAATAAAAGTTCTTACGATAATCAGCTACCATACAAACGATAAAGTTAATTTTGTACAAATTACAGAATATTATAAAATCTTAAGCAATTTCAATAGTTCTGTTTGACTATTTTACAACAAGTGTATCACAATTTATACGATTGCAAAACCAATTACTATTAAATAATCACACATAGTTATGGTAGCACTCATAGTAATATATTGCTTGAAAAAATCTTTGCTTTATTTGATGTGTCAAAATAACTTGCAAAATCTATTGGCTATTAGTTAATTTAATATAATTCCAATATTTAAAAAATACAAGAAAATTAAAAAAAGACTCTCGTAACAACCTTAAAGTTAAAAGTAGATGCAACAAATTTTATAATATAAAGTTTAGGTAAAGAAAAGTTTTTTGATATATTATCAAACTTATAAAAGATGCGAAAAGAATTTTTCGATAGAATTTTTTATTTGATGAAAAAAAAATTATTCTATTAAAATATGCAGTACAATAACTGTTAACTTATTGTTTACTATAAAAAAAATAATATTGGAATAATACAGTTTTAATGATTTATATTCAGAAGTAGGATTACAATTTCATATTCAACTATGGATAATGTAAAAATGTTTTGAAATTATCCAAGGAAATGAAAACAAACTCAACTAATAGTACTATAGCCTGAAGAGTACCAGAAATATGTATTCCAAGGTACCTAAAACTGTTGAAATAAATTAATAAATAGAATATAATTAATGGAATCGTAATTTCTTTCCTAAAATAATTTAAAAATTATCGTCTGCCATTCAAACTATATTGATACCAAGTTTTGTGTGTGATGGTTAATTTACTACATTAATGTATTAATGTATATTGAATAATTAATACTGATATTAAAGTCGCAAAAATTGACATTATCATACCTTTTGAATTATATATACTTTTCAATCCAAATATCCAAATGTCTTCAGTGTTTTCACATGGTATGTCTTTTTTATATTGGGTTGTCAACTTGGCAAACTAACTGACAAGTATAATTTTTGGTTATTTAATTTCAAGTTTCCTATTTAATTTTCCTATTCAAGTTTCCAATTTAATTCCTATTTAATTTTAAGTTGAGAGTTCAATCGGATCAGTGCTTTTTTCAATAAAAAAACATTCAACATGCAACGAGTGTCAAAAGGTGAAACCATCTAACATCCGAGATTTCTATGTTCTGATTCCCCTCTCTATTCCGTTCCGGATTCCGTAATTAGATTGCTCTGCTATGGTTATAAAACAGCACCATGACATTGCATGACGGTATCATGACTGCTTTGCTATTGGCCCTTCACGGCCGACATATTGTCAATCTGTAAGTCCATCCAGCTGCGCATAGTTAATATAAATAAATAAATAAATATATATATATATATATATGCATATATTTATTTATTTATTTTATTTATTTATTTACTGCAATACTTAGTTCATTTCTGAACTCTGCAGAGGTACACTAGGTACCTGTACGCAGCTTACTGAATTTTTTCAACGATGATCCATTATTATTTTCTAAGTTATTATATATGTTTTCGATGTAATTTTTCCTGTAGAATCGAATGGTGTAATCAGATTTGGCATAGAAATCGACTGCGAAGAATTAGCGACCAAAAACCACGAAAAAAGTCGAAAAAACTCAGTTTTTTGACTTTTTCTCAATGACCCACTACGATTTTTGAAATTCTAATGATACCACTGAATTCGTCAGAAAAAAAGACATAATTTAAAAAAAAAAAAATTTCTGTAGCCACTTTTCTAAGTAAAGTTATCGCACTTTGAAAATTTCGGGAATTTTTTTAGGTTAGAAAATCACCACCTTAAGATGTGAAAAAAATCAGGTATATTCCTTTTGGCAAGTAGTATATCCATGATTTTTTTTTGTACTGATATCGCTATTATTTTTCGAGAAAAAAATAATTCGTAAAAAAATCGTTTTTGGCATATATATATATATGGGGGGGAGGTCGGAGGCTAATTATATGGGCAAAGCACTTCTTAAACACTATATTAAAGATAGCCAAAGGTTATTTTGAGGTTTTCGAAAGAGGGCATTTCACCATTGTTAATGGGGGGTACCATTTGTGAATAACAAACTTGAAAAAAAGCACGCATTGCACTAATGCAGAAGCTTCAATATAAACATGAAATTAACGTAAAAAGTTTGTTATAAAAGTAATTTATTCTAAATTTCATGTATTTGCAGAAATAGAGGCTAGTAAAGAATGCAACAACTGTCATAAGGCCAACTGAAAGCAACGAGAATAGATAGATCACATATCAAAGGGAAGCTGTTCCGCGACACACGATCTTGAATATGGCCGCACTTTTGAGGTAGACGATGACTTCGCAGAATATCAGCAATAAGGCTCTAGCGTAATCTTAAGCGACAGAGAGGAGTGCGATGCCAATGACGAGTTTCCAATAATCGTGTGGAAAAACAGTCAGTCGAGTTAGCCGTATTGTCAATGTAAAACAGTCCAGTCAATCCCTCAACAATAATGTCCTCTTTATCATTCAATATCCTAATTTCGTTCTTAACAAACTCCATCTACTCGTATATCTAACTTCACTAGGACAAACACCTAGTGTGCAACAATATAGAAAATAAATTTCGATACTTTCCTGACGACGGTATCCTGGGCGATCTCTTGGTCGAAAGGACAGCATCCACGAGAATGAGCACCTAGTTAGCAGCAATGTGGAAAAAAAATTTCTAGACTTACCTCAAAACGATTTTCAAGTGCCAAAGTGACCTTTTGATCGACAGAATACCGTCCACGAAGATGAGCATCTAGTGCGCAGCAACGCGGAGGAAAAATATCTAGGCTACCCTAAGATGATGTTCAGGTGCGAGGGTGATCTCTTGGTCGATAGGACACCCTCCACGAGGATGACCTTGTGTGCAACAATTTGGAGAAAAAATTTCCGAGACGTTCCTGAAGGCGATTTTCTGGTGCCAAGGTTTCCTCCGAGTTAACAGAACACCTTTTAGGAGAATTAGCACGTAGTTTGCAGTAACGTGAAAAAAAATGTCAAAACTTCATAAAAAACGATGTCCAGGTGTCAGAATGATCTTCAAGTCAACTAGATACCATCCACGAGGATGACATCTTTATATACAGCACGTGGAAGAAAAATTTCAAGACATCTCTGAATACGGTGTTCAGGAGCTAGCGTGACTTTCAGGTCGACAAGACACCATTCATGAAGATATGTAGTAAGTGTGCAGCAATGTGGAGAAAAAAATTTCTAGATTACCCTGGAGACGATTTTCAATGGCCAGGGTAACTCCAGGATGACCTTCAAAACGCTAATGAAATTGAGGTCGACGTAAACCTTAACGCCATCTATTAAAAACTATACGTAGACATGTTGTGATCTAGAGTGCTGCCACTTTCATTGCTATAAATAATTTTAAAATTTTCATATATTTTTATTGTTCGAATATTATGTCTGAATTCAAGGCACTATTGATATCAAATAATCTAAAAATTTTTATGGATTCGAAAAACAGTGAGAATTTATTCATCATTTTTGTTGCTGTAAATATATATAAGCAAATGATCATTATTGAAGTTTAAATAAATAACACAGATCTGCAAAATAAGGGGTTGTAATTGTTGTTAGCCAACGGAAGGTCATTTTCGAAGTAATTTTTTGCGTAGAATTTGAATCTGGAGTCAGAATTTGTCCACCACATTAGGTTTTTTTAGATATCCTAACCTAAAAGGGCAAAAAAAGGCAGTTTTTTGGTATATTTGAGGTCCCATAACAACACGAAACAATTATTTTTCTGAAAACAGTATACTCTTACCCTTAAAAACCCGTATTTAAGATTTGAGATATCTTTTTTTTTTCATCAAGATATCACTGATTCGGATCAAGTATTTTAGCAGTTCCGATACTGCTATTTTCCTGGATGTGCACATACGGCATTTGCAAGGCTATAAACTCACGCTTTTATATCCTAACTTCCATAGCCCCCGAGCACTGTAAACTACGACGCCATGGCCCCAGATCCTTAAATTCCTATTTCCTTAACCCACGAACCCTGTAACCTGCGATGCTATAACCGTAGACCCTTATACCCTAATTTCCTTAATCCTCGAGCCTTGTAACTTGTGACGTTATAATTCTAGATCCTAAAATCGCTATTTTCTTAAACTTGGAGCCCTGTAATCTACAACGCCATAACCCCAATTCCTTATACCCTAATTGCTTTAACCCTCAATCCCTGTAACCTTCGACGTTATAATCCCAGATCTTTGAACTTTAATGTTCTTAATCCTTGTGCCCTATAGTTTGCGATGCTTATTGGGTTAGCATCATAATCTCGTACATGCGATAAAATTACCTAGTAAGCCGCTTTCATTTTTGTAACGTCATTCACGGAGAGTTTTTCTAAATAGTTTCCAAACATCATTTTCACGGCTACCTTTCCAGGGAGGATTTATCGACGAACAGTTTTCATCAGTCGTTTTCACGACTCTGCTCTTGGTGAGTTCTTCGGACTTTCGAATCAGCCATTTTTACAGCTG